TACCATTTCTGCTTTTCTAATTCTGCATTTGATCTGAATGCAATGGGACACAATATAATGGTTTTATACCCTACGTTAACTTTACCAATTTGTTTGATTTCATTAAACCCCTGCAAACATATGCCTTCATATATACTTTCAGAGATAGCAAGCTGGTTTGATTCTATGTACCCCAAGTTGTCAATGCAGCAAACCATACCACTAAAGTGCAAACTTCAGAAGCACAGGGCCCACAGTTAATCACAACTGTATAAACTCTGTTGTATTTCCCTAAAGCCAAGAGAACCTTTGCGGCTGCTGATTGGTAAGAAATTAGACTGGACACTTGTAGGAAGAGGATAGCACATTCCTGCTGCTTTAACCCTTACTATTGATCAAAACATGCATAAGCACCTGGCCGTTTGCCATCGAAAAGAATTAAGCAGTCTTGTATGTCACATCTCTGCCTTCTCAAGGTCCCTGTTCAAGAAGATGGAAAGTTGAGGTGTTTTTAACATCATCCCATTCCATCACTAGCTCTGTGTGGGGAGCTAAGACAGGAGACTTGGTCCCCTGAGCTCTCCTTCTCTCCCTAGGTAACCACATGATGTAATTACACTTTCTTTCCAGAGGTCCAAGTAGAAGTAAACATTAGCTTCACACATACATGTGAATCGTCAGAGCTCAAAGAATTCCAATTAAAGAAAACTTCACCCTGGCAGAGGGTTCTTTCAATAGCACTAGAGGCTAAAGTTCAAGTGGAGCTTTTCCAAGAATCTAGAAGAAAATGATTCTGAAGGTCAAAGACCAAAATTCTGAGTTTGATTGCCTGAAGCCTCTTCTATTGGTCTTTGGTGTAGAACACAGCAGACAAATGAAGCAATTCCCAAAGCACCACCAGCCCGCTCTGCCATCCACCATCGCTACGAAAGAATAGCATTGTTTCTTTGCAGACACATATTCATACATATGAATACATATATTTTTATGCTTGCATCATCTTTTCAGACAAAATTAGCAAATATTTCTCAGGAAGATCTCTACATCTTCATCTTGCTTTGGTACTTACGCCCAAAATGATTGTGGTTTTCTTAAATGCAATCTTTATTTAACTTTATTTTGTCTTCTTAGCTCCTTGCTTTTAATCTTCCACAAAATCACTCTCTAATGATGATTATTAGGCTTAATATTTTACTTTTTTTCTACAATGATGAAATGAAGGCACATAAAGTTCTTAGCATAATACTTGGCATACAGTAAGTAGTCAATAAATGTTACTTATTTTATTATTATCTTAAAATAAAACTGAGATGGTATACTTTAACCAGCATGGTATAGTGGTTAAGGGAGAGGATTCTGGAGCAAAGCTGCCTGCATTTGAGTCCCAGCTCTGCCCTTAATTAGCTATTTGTGACTTTGGACAATTTTCATAACTTCTCTGTGCTCAGTTTCTCCATCTGCAAAATGGAAGTAGCAATTGTTCCTACTTCATAGGGGTGAATGAGTTATGATATGTAAACACTTAGACCTGTACCTGCCATACAGTAAGCATTATATAAGCATAAGCCATTATTATTTATTCCTTTCAATCCTGAAGGTCCAGAGATCATTAATGTTTTTTCTGCATTCTGCACTTCTGTTCTCTTTACCTAAGGTCCTTATTTTACTTTAATATTTGATCAAGTTCTACATCTATTCTGTGTTTGAAAGAAACCAAGATTTTGTTTAACCAATTTTAAAAATATTAGTAATAACTTCTATAATCTATGAAAGCACTAAATGCCAGTAAGAAAAAAAGGTAATTGATAAGACCTGGTGCTCACAGAAGCACTATATTATGACATTTAAGGCAGTGGGGCTTGAAATCCCAAATGCAAACATTATTATGAACTGCCTAATTCAGATCTAGTCTTTCCTTTGTTCACAGGAAGTCAGCAACAAGTAACCTGAAATAAAGACAAGTTTATAACACTTATAAGAAATTAAATTTTATTCTTGCAGCTCAAAAAAATTCAGTGAAGGATATTTTCTCTTATGTCTCCCTGAGCTGTGGGTTCTAGAGAAATGTTTAACTGTAACAAGCCATACAGTTACACTTGTTGGTCAAAACAAAACAAGTCCTATATGATGACTTTCAGCACATGGACATTTGGGCTTCATGAGAGTAGGAGAGAGCCAGGGCCATCACCGGGGAATGGATACCTGTGGGCATTCCCAGGTTCCTCCTGCACTGTGGCCTTGCCCCTGCTGCTTGCAGGAAGCCACAGAATTTGGGAACAATGGGGACATTCTTTTCCTACTGCGAGGTAGTCTGCTCACTCTTTCTCGAGGTTAGTGTAGGCAGAAGGGAGTTCTTTACAATGAAAACTTTTTAATTTATCAGACTCAAATATTTTCTTAACAGGAGGCACATTGATTTGACCCCACAAACATTTTTAAGGGATAGTTTGTATCATTCTGAGTAGGAAGGTAAAAAGATATGAGCCCATGCTGAATGTACCAATGGCCGTCTTTCAACATTGTCTTACTTTCATAAGTTGATCTGTTTAAAAAAATAGTAGGTAGGCATGCAAGGGAAAGCATCTTCTTTTCCAACTTCAAAATTGCAAAACATCACATTGTTAGTTTTTTCTAAACATTAAACACTGATCAGACCATAGAAAAATTTGCCAAGGCTGCTACTGAAATGATGATTTAAAAAAAAATTAATTCCCTACTTGCTTTTAAAGGAAATTCTTAAGATACATGGATCAAAATAGCACATGCCCAATTAAGAGCACAGTCTCTGGAGCAGTTTGCAATCCCAGTTTTGCCACTGCTGTTTGTGTGGCCTCGAACAAATTACACGGCCTTGTGCAACTCCATCTCCAGCTTCATCTTCCTCTTCTGTATGAGACTTCGCATGAGTCTCACAGGATTTTTGTAAGGATTTAATGATGCAATCCATTAAGTATATAACAAAGTGTCTGGGACATAGAAAGTGAACAATAAATGGTGAATTTTATTATTTAATTCATACCAGGTATGTCCTTATTGATCTACTCCTTTGAACATCAATTTCTGCCAAGCTCCTTAGCATAATTCTCCAACCCAACACACAAAAACGCTTCAAAAGGGAAAACAGAACCCCCTAGAACAGCAATGTCCAACCCATATTCTTTCCTGAGGATTAAGGAACATTTTATATTTTACTGAACTTGAGTGGGGCTCTTCTTGGTCCAATTCCATCAAACATTCAGTTCCACTGAGTGTGTTTCGTATTCTCAGCACAGAGATGAAAGACACATGAGGGAGACTATCTGCCCCAAGACAGCTCCAGCCAGCCACTGGCATCTCATTCCCAGCCCAAACTGGTCTCTATATGGGAAGTCTTCCAAATTCAGCTTTCCTTCCTACCTTTCTTTCTTAGGATCTCAAAGATGATGATAATGGAGATGATGATGCCAATGATGAAACTGATGGTAACGTTGATGAGGATAGCTAACATTTACTTGACATTTATTTTGAGCCAGCCACTATAAGCACTTTGTACATATTATTTCCCTTAATCTTCCCAACAGTCATTAGAGGTAGGTACCATGTTTATCCCTGGTCAAGATTGCCTGTAGGATGTTTTGGTCCTGCTGCTCTCCCCAGATTAACTCCACCCAACCCACAATCTCTAACATCTTTCTGTCCGAGACACACTTCCTGACCTAAAATTCACAGGGATGGAAGAGCAGTGGCTATGGCAAATGGTACCTCCCTCAGCAACTTCAGTTTGATCTCCCACAGCATGAATTGCCCCTCCTGGCATGCAACAGCCATGAAACTAATGCAGAAAAAAATCCCCAACAGCGGATCCCTGTTGACTAGTACCTTTTGGCTTCCAACATTAATATACAGTAAACGCTAATAAATTAACTCATTTTAAGGATAAAGAAATACTAAAGCAAGAGAAACGGTTTGCTCACAGCTACACAGCGGGTGGAAATAAAATCACCAATAAAGCTCAGTACGCCCTCTGGAAGTTCTTACCGCCTCATTATTCTGGGCTCCTAATTCCTCGCTGCTCAAACCTCTTCACACACAAGCAGCACAAAAATGTACTGTGGAATCAGCCTTTCACAGGCTCGGCAGAACAAGACTAACAAATCCTGGAGCAGCGAGGGCAGCAGAATAACAAGTTGACCCTTCAGGACAAGTGTCACATTATCTTTTAACCAGACAGTCTAGATTTCTCAGGGCAAGACAAAAATGTCGCCAAATACTTGTCAGCAGTTTTCAGTGGAGGAAAAACTGCAGTTAAAGCACCTCTGGTGAGAACTTTGAGCAGTAAGCATGCTTACATTTAGTTTGTGCAATTTTGATTATGAATTGGATGGTGCGTTAGATCCATGTCCTCAGTTCTTTGCTGGAGTGCTATAAACGTAAAATCGTCAGCCACAGGCCATTCCGTTTTGTTTATTTAAAGGGAGAATTTTAAAAATCACTTTTTCCACTTCATAGCTCCTTTGGACCAGGGAATAAAAATAGCGATGTCGGCAGGAGCCAAACTTTTTCTGGAAAAATAAAACGAGAGGGAAAAGAGCCCTACTCAGAAACCCAAGTCTTGTGGAGCTGCCTCCAAGCAAAACTCTCATTTCAATGACTTCTTTTCTTCCTCCTTCTCAGAGGCCCCTCAAAGGAAGGCGCAGTTGGTAAGAAATTCCCGGGGTGCCCAGCACAGCCAACCCTGCGCCCTTCCCACTCCACCTGTCAGAACCCCGAGGGCGGCGCGGCCGAGGCGGGGTTGGGGAGGTGGCCCGAGAGGTGGCTCGGGGAAGGGACACTGGTGGCGACGGACAACCGGGAGGGTGGGATTCTCAGGGAGGAGCTGGCAGAGCCCGGCCGCGGGCCATCGCGAGTCCAGGTGACCGACCGGCGCTGCCCGGGTCTCAGGTGCAGACTCCCCGAGACGCGGCCCCCGGAGCGGCCCCGGCGCAGCGGTCGGCCGGCTGGGCGGTGCGGCGCGAGTCCCCGGCGCCCGGGGCGCGTCTTACCTGTTGATCTTGAGCGCGAAAGCGCGGCGCTCCGCGCTCGGCAGCGTGGCCATGGCGCACCCGCGGCTCGGCAGCCTCTAGGCTCGCGGGGTGCGGACGGCGGGGTCCCGGCGAGCCGCAGAGCCGCTGCAGCGCATGCCGCGCGGGACGCGAGCCTCATCTGTCAGTCGGGGCTGGAAACTTCCGCATTTCCACCTTCAGCGCTGAAATCACCCCGGGGGAGGGCCCAAGCTCCGGGCCGCGGCGGAGAGCCCAGCCACCGGCGCCCGGCCCGGCGCGCAGCGAGCGCGGGCGAGAAGGGTGTGGACACCCTGCGGAACTGCCCTCCGGATGCTCGGGCCGCCGGCGCGCTCTTCCCGGGGCCCTGACCTCCGGCAGAAAGGAGCGCGGGCGGGTGACCCGGCGACCACGGAGCGAGGCCGGAAACTCCATCTGCCTGAGGCTGCGAAGCTGCCAGAGCGCGTGGGCAAGAAGGGGGAATCCGCGCCTTCCGCCCGCTCCGCAGAGTTGGCGAGGTGGGGAAACCTACCCTGGAACTCTCTCCTCTAGGCCTTATGAAGGGTTCACATCATGCCTGGGAGAAGGCAGATGATAAAAAACAAACAAACAAACAAAAAAAAAAAACGAACCGGGGGAAACTTCAGGATACAAATGAACTTTTGCAAACGATATGTCCGTCATCCTTCCTGAGGCACCTTAAACACAATGAATCCATCCAAGGAATCAACATAAGTTATCAAAAAAAATTTTTCCCTTTTACGCCCTAAGGATAAATGCTTTTCTTTGGGGAAACACTACACGCAGTTTTCCTATGACTCAAGAATATGCTGCAACCCTGTTCATTTCAGTTTCAGACTAAGAAGTTTCTTAAGAAGCCCAGCCCCAAACTCAAGAAAAATCAGAAAAGTCCCAATGCTCACTGGAATGGAAAAGTCCGTGTTTATTTCAAGTTAGTGGTTTGCTCTAAGTTTTGCTGAACTGGAGCACTCTTCATGCCTCTGTCAACTTGCCCTTAAAAAAATACTAAAGCAAGATATTTTTGGTTCAGAGTCACACTACTTCCCAATGTGGTAGCCACTAGCCACATGTGACTATTGACTGTTCGAAATGATGTTTAGTTTGAATTGAGATGTGCTGAATTTGTGAAATACACACTGGGTTTTGAAGACAGTACAGAAAAAATAATGCATAATATCTTGTTAATAATTTTTATGTTGGTTACATGTTAAAATGACACTTGGCATATATTAGGTAAATAAAATATATTATTAAAATTAATTTCACCTGTTTGTTTTTCCCTCTTTGAAATGTGGCTTGCATTAAAAAAAATTAAAATTATATATGTAGCTCGCATATGTGGGTCACATTATATTCTTGTTGGACAGTGCTGGTTTGCAATTTGCAGCCTAATACTAAAAGGCCTAACGACTGAAGTCGGTTCCTTCCTGATGGCCTTCTTTTCTCTGGTTTTGGCTGCCTGAGAGAGTTTAGTAATTCTTCAGAGCTGGTTAGGTAACTTCCCGCCTCTCCCAATGTCAATGCCTTTAAGCATATAAGACGAAGTTCATAGGCCAAAGTTACATAGACTATGAAAAGAATCTAAAGAAAAGAAAGCTTTTTGAAATGTGGAGTTTCTGACTTTCAGAATTCTCCTCAGCAGATTTGCTGAACTGGGATTTATAAACAAACATTTAGATAGAAAAATACTAAGAGAACAATTCTGTGAGTACTTCTTCAAGTTGGGAACAAATGGATGGTTCGTAGAAAATTTCTTTACACCAGAGTCTTCAGTCCACTGTGTACTAAGGGTCTCAGATGGGCTTTGCTGAGTTTCTGAATGTTTGTGATGCACACTTTCATACAGAGCAAAAATATATTGATTTTCACACAAATACAAAGTGTAATGAGAGCATCTCAAATTTTCAGAATCTGCAATCAAGGAAACGTTTTTTTGGGAGGGAGGAGGAATCATAAAATCTCCCATCTTATGTCAGCTCATACTGCATTTAACTTAGTATGTGGCACCAAACTCTGAAGGTTAGGCCAGCGTTGTCATCATCTGTGCAGTCAGTTCCCCCATGATTAGAAAGGACTCCAGATTACCTTAACAGCCTTTTAACAATTCACCATGGCTGTATTATCCACTAACACATTTGTGTTAGCCAAATGTCTATTTTTAAACTTTATCTGCTCTTGAATACATCCACAGATCACTGGCAAACTTCAAAAATAGCTACGTGCCTTGCTTCCATGTTCTCACTACGTCTTCGTTCCCTGTGGGCCAGCTTCTCTCCTCATCACCCCTCTGTCCAAAGCACACTCTGGAAGGCTCCTTCCTCCCACTTATGACCTCTCTTGGCCATCCTCTTTCTCTGCATCTTTGTGGCATTCGTTTTTGTTTTTCACTTTCATAGAATTCCTCCTGTGACTTCTTTGACAGACATTATGTCAATCATTCCAAATTTTCCCCTGGTTTTCCCCACATCTTCTTCTTCTTACCTTCCTGGAAAGCCAACCTCTTTCTTTACATTGCATCTTACTTATTTTATTTAACAAACAATCAAATAACACTTTCCTTGTATCAGGACCTGTTCCAAGCCCTTTACAAATATTAATTAATTATTTAATAACAACTATTAAATAATAAGATTATCCTCACTTTGCAACTGGGAAAACAGGCTCAGAGAGGTTAAGTGACTTCCCCAAACTAATAAGGGGCAGAGTCATTTCCAGTCCTAAAGTTTTGCCTGTCTCCCAGATATTCCCATTTGAATATATTCAAACTCCACAAATCAAAGTCTAAAATTCTCCATCTCCTCTACTCAATCGTAAACTCACTATGTCTCCACAATCACCCATTTCTGTTGGTGACACTATTTCCCCATTAGTCAGGCTTAGAGCATTGGAGTCATCTAGTGGGGGAAAAGCAGGAAGTCTGGGTTCTGGCTTCAGCTTTTCACTGTGTGATCCTGAGCGAGTCACACCTTGTTTGTATCCCAGAGTCCTTAGTCTTAGAATGACACCATCCACTCGCCTCTCTCTGAACTTTATGAATGTGTCAGCTCTAACTTCTTCCTCTTCTTTACCCTTCAGATCTAATCATCTACCAAGGCCTGTCATTTGTTCTTTAGAAACATTATCCCTTTATAAATATCACTGTTCCCTGTGCTTCCATTCTGGCCCAGCCCTTATAAATTAATGTCTGGATAACAAAAATAAGATTTTAAATGGCCTCTCTTCCTGTAGCTTCTCCTTATTCTGATTGAATCTGACTCTACCACTGTACTAATTTTACTAAAATACTTCTTTCATCATGTTTCTTCCTGCTAAGTTAGCTTCAGTGGCTCGCCATAGCCTCTATGACTATGTGTGACCTTCTCCAACTGGCTTATAGTGGCTTCTCCACTTCACGTAACTTGCTTTACCCCTCACCTCTCTGTTGAAGCATAGAAGATCTCCAATTTGCTCCTGGAGAAGGCAGTGTTCTCTGCCTGGGGCCTCCTCTGCTCACATTATTCTTCCTGCCATCCACACCCTACATCACGTCTAGTCTCTCTCCATACGTCAAAGTTTGAGTCAAGTTGTCAAGTCCCACCTCTTCCTAAAGGAGTATCTCTTTCACTGTGTCAGCACCCTTTAATTACTTAAATAGGTCATCACCAATAAACACAGCCTAGTGGAATGAGAGGTCCATAGGACTGTAGAGAAAATTGTGATCATTTGTGCATTTCCTTTCCTATTCCCCAAACCATTCAAGACCTCCATCAGATTTTGTTCAAATAACACCTTCCATGATGATCTATTTAACATTCCAGTACCCCCTTCCCTGGTCCTGATGCTTCCTATCTCCTTTTCCAACTTTGTTTTCCTCCATAGCATTTATCACTATCTGACATACGATATATTTTATTTGTGTTTACCATCTATTGTGCTTCTAGAATATAAGTTCCACGAGTATAGGAATTTTTGTTTTATTTACTGCTCTATCTCTATTACCTAGAACAATACCAAGCACATAGTAAGTGTTCAATAAGTACTTGTTGAATAAATGAATGAATAACTGATTCAGTGTTGAACACAGAGCAGACACTCAATAAATACTTGTTAGAGTGAACTTGAATGGGAATGGCCAAGTTTCACGTGGCTTTCAGAAGGAAGTAAGAGTCTTTTTCTATTTTCTTGAATATTTCGGTTGTGCCTTTCTGTGAATATCTTCCAGCTCTGTTTTGTATTTATTTCTTGGTTTGAAAAATTGAACTAGGGGCTGGCCCGGTGGTGCAGCAGTTAAGTTCGCATGTTCTGCTTCAGTGGCCTGGGGTTCGCTTTGTCAGATCCCAGGTGTGGGCCTACACACCGCTTGGCAAGCCATGCTGTGGCAAGCTTCCCACGTATAAAGTAGAGGAAGATTGGCACGCATGTTAGCTCAGGGCCAGTCTTCCTCAGCAAAAACAGGAGGACTGGCGGCAGATGTTAGCTCAGAGCTAATCTTCCTAAAAAAAATAAAATTTGAAATAGCACATGGATTATTACTAGCACGTAGATATTTTTCTTGTTGTCTTATAACTGTGGACAGGTACAGAAACATTTGAGATTTGAGTGTTGGTATTTAAAGCCAGCTATAGCTCAGACATTAGAATTTGAGATTCTTAATTTTCTCCACTTTATTCCTTATATTGTCACAAGAAATCTGTAAATATGCAAATAGTAAGTATTCCTTTTCCTTAAAAATTATCATGGTGGGATATATATACACACACACACATATTATGTATATTTTATATGTATACTTTATATATTAGTATTTTAAATTTTGGATTTAGACCATATTCTAACATACAGTGCTATTTCACATCCAATAGGAATATTTCTACCATAGCATTTTATAACTAGAAGGACCTTCAATTAATTCATGAATGAATGAATAAATTCTCTCCTTATCATGGATGTGCCTTCTATTCATCCCCTAAACATTTACCAAGTGGTTACCAAGGGCAGGCTCCGTACTAAATGATATTAGGGGAAAACAATTGACAAAACTTGTTCCCTGACTTCCCAGGAATGAGACACTTGTAAAGAAGGAAAGAAGAGGCTTGAGTTTCATGTGACAATGAGAAAACTTTTGCTGCACAAAACTCTGTGGGAGCGAGGAAGCACAGAGAGGAAAT